TCTAGAGTGACAGAGAGGCCTTCTTTGTGGCAGACCTGGGGGACATAGTGAAGAAACACCTGCACTTCTTGGAGGCCTTGCCCCATGTCAAACCATTTTACACCGTCAAGTGCAACAGCAGCAAGGGAGTTGTGCAGCTGCTGGCTGAATTAGGGGCAGGATTTGACTGTGCTAGCAAGGTAGGGGCCAGGGCAGGTCGGGGGGGGCAAATATCCTGAGGGTTTTGTATTTCTAGCTGCATGCTGTGAGGAGGGTGAGGACGTTAACTACTGCACATGTTTATCATTTGTGCTGGAGTGATTCACAGGTATATTGCAAACTGCAGTCTCCTATGTTTCCTTTGGCACCGCTTAAACTGCTTTTATGGTGAAGACAGTCTCCCCCTTCTGGCAAAATACTAAGAGCACAGCATGGAAAATCTTCCTGTAGCCATCTTGCAAGCTAGATGCAAGCTCAGGTGACTGTTCCCTTTCATCTAAATTTCCTTGTATTGAATTCTTCTCCTGGATAACAGAATTCACCAGTAATGAGGCATGCCTTGAATATGTTGTTTCTGTGGTACAGACTTCCTCAGTCTACTCTTAAGCTGTTACAGGGCTGACTTAAAAGCTCTCAGCCCCCTCTGGCTTGTCACTTGGTCATAGGCTGATTGCTAGGGTGGATCAAAGTTTCATGATTTGTTCCTTTTATAAGTAAACAGAACAGGTTGCTAAGGTGACAAGTTTTTATATATCTGAAGGACAAAGCCCAAAGGAAAACTACAGAGGCAGACAGAGCGTGACTGCTAAAGGAGTCAAAGTCTGCCTTAACTCTCCTTATAACTAGCAAGGGATGGATGCACATTCTCCCCCGCTTACAAAGTGTAAAGCCTATGGGAATCCAGTTTACCCAGCTTGCCTCCTCCTCTCTTGGTCCTGTTTTGAAGTCCATCATGACCCATCTATCACATGGCAAACACACTTCCCCTCCATTCCTTGTCTTGTTCCCAGCAGGCCTGTATCACAGTGGGTTGCCCTTGATGACTTCATAAAATGCTCTAGAACGTCTGGCTCAGGCATGGAGCTCTGTTTTCTATAACGACCTGTATCCACAGCACTAAGTTTTCCAGGGTCTGCTCTGCTCATTATGCTAATACTCTCTCTGCCTCTCTGCAGGCAGAGATTGCACTGATTCAAAGCATCGGGGTTCCACCAGACAAGATTATCTACACCAGTCCCTGCAAACAGATCTCACAGATCAAATATGCTGCCAGCCATGGGGTGCAGTTGATGACCTTTGACAATGAAGTGGAGCTTGGGAAGGTGGCAAAAAGCCACCCACATGCCAGGTACATATATAAATGCTAACGATGGAAGGAAGAAGGTGAGGTCAGAAGTGGAGGCTAAGAGCAGTGATAGACTATGGGTCTGTCACTAATTCTTATCTAGTGGGTAAACATGACTCTTACGGACAGAGACGTAGTGTGTTCATATTATATGCGTTTGAGTTTGCTGCAGTAGCGAGCCAGAGAGATTGCATATGCTTATATGCACAGGGACAGCAAGTTGAGTAGCTGGAGCTCCAGCTTAGCGTGACTTCCTTCCACAGGATGGTTTTGCGCATTGCCACTGATGACTCCCGGTCCTCAGCTCGCCTGAGTGTGAAATTTGGTGCCACCCTTAACTCCTGCAGACATCTGCTAGAGACAGCAAAAGAGATGAATGTGGAGATTGTTGGCGTCAGGTAATGGTGTCCTCTTGTCATGGTCCCTGTGGCAGGTGCAGAGATCCCACCTCAGGAACACAGCTGGGTATTCGTATCCCTCCACTGTTTCCACCATGTGAGGCAGGCCAGTAGGGGGCGCTCCTGCGTCGAGCCACCCACCTCCCTGCACCC